TTCATGAGAGATACAGAGAGAGAGAGAGGCAGAGACCACAGGCAGAGGGAAAAGCAGGCTCCATGCAGGGAGCCCGATGTGGGACTTGATCCTGGGTCTCCAGGATCCTGCCCTGGACTGAAGGCAGTGCTAAACCACTGAGCCACTGGGGCTGCCCATGTCTTTATAAATAAAATAAAATCAGAGTTTAGACTCAGGTAATCATAAATAATTTTTTTCACCCACATGCATATATGCTAGGACATTTGACATTGTGTGAGACAATTCTTCATTGATAGACCATCCTACCTATTTCAGGATGTTTAGTATCCATTGCTCCTGGCTATGAATGCTAATGGTGTCCTCAAATGAACCAGAAACTCCCCCTACAAATTTCTGAAACATTCTAGGTTGGGAGTAACTGCTCCTTTGAGATCTGTTGTTCTGTTACAAACTGTATTTGTTATAGAAGTTAAATTTCTATGCTTTTATGATAATTATTCTATAGCATTACCCAGTTAAAAAAACTTTCATAAATTTAGAATCACATTTGATTCTTTTCTTCTTTCTTCTTTCTTTCTTTCTTTCTTTCTTTCTTTCTTTCTTTCTTTCTTTCTTTCTTTCTTTCTTTCTTTCTTTCTTTCTTTTCTCTCTCTCTCTCTCTCTCTCTCTCTCTCTCTCTCTCTTTCATGAGAGACACACACAGAGAGGCAGAGACATAGGCAGAGGGAGAAGCAGGCTGCCTGTGGAGAGCCTGATGTTGGACTTGATCCCGGACTCTGGGATCATGCCCTGAGTTGTAGGCAGATGCTCAACTGCTGAGCCACCCAGGCATCCCAATTTCTTCACCTTTCATATCTAAACAGTTTATTTATACTTACTAATTGAATTTTGAATTAATGTCATATTTGATTGGAAATGACCTTAGATTTTGCAAACTAATGTCAGTTGGAAGTGTGTTTCTGGTCTGCAGTGACTTCAGTGCAGAAAGTGAGAGTAAATGTTTAAAAACTTATAGCAATTTGACATTGCTGTAACATCAGGTGCATGATTTTTATATTTTTCAGAAATATGGGTTTGGCAGATTAGAAATACACACATTGTTTTTTTACTATACGTTTAATGAGAGACATTGATATACACCAGTAATTTTCACACATTTAAAATGTTTAAAGCATTTAAATATATTCATCAAACCAGACCTTACATGGGAGCACAGTGTGCAAAACACACAAAAGTAAAGCTCTCTTCAGAATTTGTCTGGGCCCTAGGAACCCCAACTCTATAGTAGCCCCCTCCAGGCCCCCATGAACTCTCTGGGGCTCTCGAGCACATTTTGACACCCCCTGGTTTATAGAGACCAGCATACTCCTTTTTTTAAAAATTTTTATTTATTTATGATAGTCACACACAGAGAGAGAGAGAGAGGCAGAGACATAGGCAGAGGGAGAAGCAGGCTCCATGCACCGGGAGCCCGATGTGGGATTCGATCCTGGGTCTCCAGGATCGCGCCCTGGGTCAAAGGCAGGCGCCAAACCGCTGCGCCACCCAGGGATCCCGCATACTCCTTTACTACTAATAAATTAGGGCATATTTATATCCCATGACAGAAGAAGAGAAGTTTTTCCTTATGTATAAATATACCTTAAAGATTGTTATAAAAAAGCGACCAAAAAATTCCCAAACCTCCAACTAGATGTCGGCACCTGAAACTTGGAGTGTCTGCCCTTGTGATGTTTGTGTCTGGGATTGTTTTTTAAACTTGTGTTTGTCATCTTTGTCTATGAGGTCCTACTATTTGTGGAATGGTTCTCCCCACTGGCCGCTACAGACCTCGGCCTCAGCTTCACTTTACAAGCATACCTTGCTTAATCGGGCCGTCCCTTTATAATGCTTTCCAGTAACTGTATTTTTTACCCTGTGTCAAACAACTTGGCACCATTTTTCAAACAGCAGTTGCTCATTTCATGTCTCTGTGTTGTATTTTGGTAATTATTGGAGTATTTCAGACTTTCTCACTACTATTAATATTGGTTATGGTGATCTCTGATCAGTGATCTTTGATGTTACCATTTTAATTGTTTTTGGTGTGCCACAAACCATCCTCAGATAAAACAGCAAACTTAATAAATGTTACGTGTGTTCTGACTGCTTCACCGATTGGCCTTTCCCCATTTCTCTTCCTCTCTTTGGGACTCTATTCCTTGACATACAGCAATACTGAAATTAGGCCACGTAACCCTATAGTGTGGCTTTTAAGTGTTCAAGTGAAAGGTAGAGTTGCATGTCTCTTTAAATAAAAAATGATTAAGCTTCTAGAAATGATTAAGCTTTATTGAGGAAGGCATGTTGAAAGCGAAGATAGGCTGAAAGTTAGGTCTCCAGCACCAAATAGCAACTTTTGACTGTAAAAGAAAAGTTCCTAAAGGAGATAAAAAGTGCTATTCTAGTGAACATACAAATGATAAGGAAGCAAACAGACTTATTGCTGATGTAGAGAAAGTTTTAGTGGTTTGGACAAAAGATCATAGTAGCCACAACTTTCTCTTAAGCTAAAGCCTAATCCAGGGTGAGACCCTAACCCTCTTCAATTCTGTGAAGACCAAGAGAAATGAGGAGTCTGTGGAAGAAAAGTCTGAAGCTAGCAGAGGTTGATTCATGAAGTTTAAGGAACCCATCTCTATAACATGAAAGTACAATATGAAGTAACATGTGCTTATGTAGGAGCTGTAGCAAGTTATCCAGGAGATCTAGCTAAGATAATTCATGAAGGAGGCTACTTTAAACAGATTTTCAATGTTGATGACATAGCTTTCTGTTGGAGGAAGATGCTGTCTAGGACTTTCATAGCTAGAGAAGTGAAGTCATTGGCTTCAAAGCTTCAAAGGACACACTGACTCTCTTGGTACGGAATAATGCAACTGGTGACTCTAAGTTGAAACCAGTGCTCATTTAGTACTCTTAAAACTCCTAGGTCCTTAAGAATCATGCTAAATATATTTTGTCTTTCATCTATAAATGGCCAGCAAGGCCTGGGTGACAGCACATCTGTGCACAACATGGTTCACTGAATATTTTAAGTCTACTCTTGAGACCTCCTCAGGAACAAAAAAAAATTCTTTCAAAACAATACTGCTTGTTGACAGTGCCTCTGGTCACCTAAAAGCCCTGATGAAGTTGTATAGTGAGGTGAGTGTTTTTTTCATGCCTGCTAACACAACAACCATTCTGCAGTCCCTGGATCAGGTCTTGTTATTGAAGAATTATATTTCCTAAGCTGCCATAGAGAGTTATTCCTCTAAGGGATCTGGGCAAAGTCAATTGAAAATCTTCTGGAAAGGATTCATCCTTCTAGATGCCATTAAGAACATTCATGATTCATGAGAAGAGATCAAAATATCAGCATTAACAACAGTTTGGAAGAAGTTAATTCCAACCCTCATGAATGACTTGGAGGGGCTCAAGACTTGAGTGGAGGAAGCTGCTGCAGATGTGGTAGAAACAGCAAGAGAACTAGTATTAGAAGGTGGATCCTAAGGATGTGGCTGAACTGCTACAATCTCATGATAAAACCCAATGGATAAAAACAAAACCAAAAAAAACCCCAAAAACCAATGGATGAGGAGTTACTCCTTGTGGATGCACAAAATATATTTTTGAGACAGAATCTACACCTAGTGAAGATGCTGTGAAGACTGTTGAAATGGCAACAAAGGATTTAGAATAGCTCATAAACTTTGTTGATAGAGCAGTGGCAGGGTTTTGAGAGGATTGGCTCCAATTTTGAAAAAGAGTTCAGCTGTGGGCAAAATACTATCAAACAGCATCGCTGTTCTACGGAGAAATCATTCTTGAAAGGAAGAGTCAATCACTGCAGCAAACTTTGTTGTCTTATTTTAGGAAACTGCCACAACCACCCCAGCCTTCAGCATCCCCCAACCCTGACCAGTCAGCAGCCATCAGCTTTGAGACAGGACCCTCTACCAGCAAAAAGATATCAACTGGCTGAAAGCTCAGATGATGGTTAGCATTTTAGCAATAAAATATTTCTTGATTAAGGTATATGTTATTGTTTTTTAGACAATGCTATTACACACTTAAAAGATTATAGTATAATATAAATAATTTTATATACATTGGGAAACCAAGAAATTTATTTGACTTGGTGTATTTGAGTATTTGCCTTGTTATGGTGATCTGCAACTCAACCCGCAGTAGCTCTGAGTATACCTGTATTTTGTTGATTTTGGAGGTGATTTCTAGGGTCTTACAAAGTGAATTTTACATTTCTAACACTGTATTTTAGGTAAACCTATCCTAAATATATCCTTCATATTTAGTAAATAAGTTTTACTCACAGAAAGGTAACGGTTTTACATAGATGTTATATAGATCTGATTATTTCACTCATTTGTTTGAAATCCTCCAGTGTCTTCAAGTTGCTGTTAAGATAAAGACCAATAACTATGCTTAGTCTTATCTCTGACTGCCTCGGTAGCCAGATATCCCACCTGTTTCTCCCATACTTCCCACTGTTTCCAGCCTGGCTTTTTGGTGTTTTTTTTTTTTTTTTTTTTTTGGTGTTTTGTTTTGGTGTTTTGGTTTTTTTTTTTTTTACTTTTTCTAAGTGCCTAGTGTTGGCCCATTTCAGGATCCTCAAACCTGCTCTTTTCCTGCTACCCCAATCCAGTTTGGCTACCTCTTATTTCAGCAAGAGGTCTTAGCTTAAACATCATCTTGGGGAAACTGTATGTCCCTGCTTTACTAGCTTAGTTCCTTTATACTGTGTTCTCATACCGTCCTGTGGTTTCTTTCTTCATGACATTATCCCAATTGAAATAACTTGTATTCATTTCTATGTTCTTGCCATAGATTGTCACCTGTGCAAGTGTAGAGACTATGTCTACTTTGTCCATCACTGTAGGGTGTTCAACACACAGTAGATGTTTGATAAGTAGCTGGAGGAATTATGGTATGTGTATAAGATCTTTGGGTCAGTTTTTTTCTTTTTTCTTTTTTAGGTTAAAGAAAGACCTGATGTGGGAGTTTATATCAAAGATTTATCGGCTTACGTGGTAAATAATGCTGATGATATGGATAGAATTATGACACTAGGCCACAAAAATCGTAAGTGTAGTAAATAATTGTGATTGAACATTTATGTGTAGAGTAGGCTTTTAGAAGCAAAACTGGCCCCACAGAGACTGGATTTTTAAGTTTCTTGATAGCCCTTTCTCTTTGATTATTTACTGTGTAGAGTACATATATGAATGAAAGAGATCACAGATTGCCTTCTGTGCTGACCAGAATTTTGTTTCTTGGTTATGGCGCTATATATATGAAACTCCTCTATTGTTAGCTGTCTCTTTTAATTAATTAGTTTATTTTTTAAAAGATTTTATTTATTCATGAGAGATAAAGAGAGGCAGAGACACAGGCAGAGGGAGACGCAGGCTCCATGCAGGGAACTCGATGCAGGACTCGATCCCGGGTCCCCAGGATCACACCCCGGGCCGAAGGTGGTGCCAAACTGCTGAGCCACCCGGGCTGCCCTAGCTGTCTCTTTTTAGCTATAATAATAAGTTTGTCAAACACTAACTGTGTGGTAAGTGCTTGTGCTAAGTCCTTTCTTTATAAGAATGATCTTTTTTAAATCCTCAAACTGAACTGTACTAAATTCCTGTTTTGATTGAGGAAACCAAGACTTAGTCTAAATAACTTGTGCAAGGTTATGTACTACTTAGTAGGTGGAGAGTAAGTGTTTGAACCTAAGCCATTAGACATCATTAACTGAGTGCTTTACTGCCTCCCTTTTGTTGACAAGAAAAGCAAACCAAAATTGACATTCTCTTTAATAATAGTTTGAAGTTTTGTCTAAAAAATAGAAAGTTGCAGTACTATTTAATACCCAAGATGCCCCAGACTTAATACTAATGATGTCGCTAGCAGCAATTAGAGGTCAGAGGTAAAAAAATAAGAATGTAGAAAGTAAACATTTTTTAAAAAGCTTTTTTGATTAGCCTGTAAATCTAGGAAAGTCAACGAAATTAAAAAATTTAAAAAATCAGTTGCATTTTTATAAATCAAGTAGAGAAAGACTAAATTCTAACAGAAAAATGAGCAAAAGATATACATGAATACATAGCAGCAGGAATACAGAGCATGTTCACCTTGACAAGTAATTGGGGAAATGAGTATTAAAACAATAGTAGGAGATATTTTACCCATTATTTAGGATGGAGGGATATCCAGGTTTGTGCAGTTCTGAAGAAATGGGGACTGGTGATGGGAGTGGAAAGTGCTCCAGCCTTGTTCAGGGGCATTGTAACAGTATCTGTTGAAATTTTTTAAATGCATTTCTTTTCACCCAGTGTTTCTAATTTCTATATATATATATAATTTGTATATATATATATATATTTCTAGATATGTATGGATGTATCTATATTGAGAAATATCTAGAAAAATATCTTTAGACATAAAAAGATGCCTTATTGGAACATTATTGATGATAGCAAAAGGTTTGATGCAGTCTAAATAAGTGTCAGTAAAACATTGGTTTTATGAATTGTGGTACAGAAGTACTCTGGACTGTAATGAAGCTATAAAAAAAAAGTTAAATATACATGTAGATACCTGAAAGATTTTCAAGATACATTGTTAAGTGAAAGGAAAACAAATTACAGAATAGTATGTACTGCATCACCCCGTTTAGAGATGTGGAAAAAGTCCAAATTGTTAAACTATGTATTTGGGCTGTGTGTGTGTGTGTGTGTGTGTGTGTGTGTGTGTGTTAAATATGTAATGAAAGGACATTTGATAGTGATTACCTTTCGGTAACGGGAAGTGAGATAGGAGAAAAGGGGTATGTGGAGCTTTTACTTCATGTTTTTGTATGTCTGTATTTTCATATTTTTTTATACCAGGAATATGTTCATGTATTGCTTACTCAATAAGAAAAAATTTTGACTCGATTCCTTTCACAGTAGTGATCAAAACCTTTCATTGAAAATAGAACAACAAAAAGCCTCCACAAAAAACCTCCCATTAACAACTGAGAATTAATTTAATTTGGTATGTGAGCTTCATTCAAGGAAAACTAAACAATTCTAATAAGAGGAGTAAAATGAAATGAAGACCAAAGATTTTGAGGACCTAAGATAGCAGAGGAAAATACTCCTAATTAATAGATTGAGTCTAAGAATTAGATATTTAGTACAAACATCCACGTCGAAAAGTTCTAACGTAAAAATACTAATTTTATCATACTGCAATTGCAATAGAGTAAAATAACTATTCAGGGGAAAATAGAAGAAGGAAATGTGACAGTAAAAGCTGCTATTCTTTTTTAAAAAAAAGATTTAATTTTTTCATGACAGAGAGAGAGAGAGAGACACAGAGACACAGGCAGAGGGAGAAGCCGGCTCCATGCAGGGATCTCGATGTGGGACTAGATCCTGGGTCTTTCAGGATTACACCCCACGCCGAAGGCGGTGCCAAACCGCTGAGCCACCCGGGCTGCCCTAATTTTCAATTTCTAAAATCAAAGCTTGCATGGAGAAGTTCTGCATAAATATATAGTAGAATAATTTTGATGTTGGCTAAAATTAGCAAAATGCTTTCCAAATACTTGGCAATTTAAGAAAAAAACTAATATATGCCTATTGAAAAAAACTTTTTTTAAAAAATTTTATTTATTTATTTGTTTATTCAGAGAGAGAGAGAGAGAGAGAGAGAGAGAGGCAGAGACACAGGCAGAGGGAGAAGCAGGCTCCATGCAGGGAGCCTGACGTGGGACTTGATCCCAGGTCTCCAGGATCACACTCCGGGCTGCAGGCGGCGCTAAACCACTGTGCCACCTGGGCTGCCCAAAAAACCCTTTTCTTTACACAATATGTAAAATATTTATAGTTGCACAAATACTTAGTATATTTTGACTGGATGCTTTTGTTTAATAGAAGAAAGAAGATTGTACTATATATCTTTTTTTTCATATGTTATGGGTATCTTCCCATGTTATACATACAGATCTGTTTTGTGTTTTTAAAGGGCTCTTGAGTAGTCCATAATAGGACTATTTTTTTTTTAAGATTTTATTTATTTATTTAGAGCATGCAGGCAGGGGGAGGGGGAGGAGGAGAGGGAGAATCTCAAGCTGACTTCGTGCTCAGCTCTGAGCCTGACATGGGGCTGGATCTCATGACCTGAGCCAAAATCAAGAGTCAGACATTTAGGGCAGCCCCGGTGGCGCAGTGGTTTGGCGCCGCCTGCAGCCTGGGGTGTGATCCTGGAGACCTGGGATCCAGTCCCACATCGGGCTCCCTGCATGGAGCCTGCTTCTCCCTCAGTCTGTCTGTGTCTCTGCCTCTCTCTCTCTCTCTCTCTCTCAATAAAAAAAAATCCTTAAAAATAATAAATAAATGAATGAATAAATAGATAAATAAAGTTAAAAAAAAAAGAGTCAGACATTTAACCTACAAAGTTACCCAGGCGCCCCATCACTATTCTGCAATAGATTAACCACTTTCCTTTTGGTTGTTTCTGATCTCTTGATATTGCAAAGAGTGCTGTACTGAATATCCTGTATCATCTAATGCATATATGCAAGTATTTCTGTGATTTAGATTCTCAGAGCATAGTACTTTTTAGAGACAGCTGAAATGGCAAAAAATTCAAAAGTATTTAACTTTTTTTTTTTTTACCTAAATTAGTTTTTTTTTTTTTTTTTTTTTAGCCAGTAATACTTGGGATTGAAATTAAGCTTTTTGTCCTAAAATTACCTCTGTAATATGAGAAACATTACAAATTCTTTTGTTATCAACATATAAATTGTCAGAGACATTTCTAATGTTAAGTAAACCTGTGCTTTTATAGGTCTTCACTGTGATGAAATTAAGTATTTTAAACCAGTCTGGACATTTGATTATTTTAAAAAATGCTGCCTCTTGTTATGCTTTTCAAGAATTTCCTTCCTTCCTTCAAGGTTCTGTTGGTGCAACTAATATGAATGAACATAGTTCCCGTTCCCATGCCATCTTTACAATTACTATAGAATGCAGTGAAAAAGGCGTTGATGGTAATATGCATGTCAGAATGGGGAAGCTCCATCTTGTAGATCTTGCTGTAAGTAACAGGATACTCCTTAAGGAATAACTCTTGTGATATTTTACATATTATAAGTGAATAAAAATTCCAGTGAAAATGTGACTTACATACAGTTTTTAAGTTGTTGACTTGTGTATGTGTTTAACTTCTTTTGTATTATGGAATACTTATTTATAAAAATAATGAGAGTAGTACTGTCTCCCCATGTACCCATGACTCTGCTTCAGCAGTTATCACTTCATGGCCAGTCCTGTTCCATCTCTGCCATCAGCCACATTTTCCCTTCCTATATTATTTGAAGCAAATTCCAGATAAATATCAGATTTTTAGCGTCAAATTTTATTTTAAACTTTCAGAGGAATATTCTGTATTTTTAATTTTAGCATTATTTCTGTCTTTGTTTATTGCTAGGGTTCAGAAAGACAAGCAAAAACTGGAGCAACTGGACAGCGCCTAAAAGAAGCTACAAAAATCAATCTTTCGCTTTCCACCCTTGGTAATGTAATTTCTGCCTTGGTTGACGGAAAAAGCACTCATGTTCCATATCGCAACTCAAAACTGACTCGTCTTCTTCAGGATTCCTTAGGAGGAAATTCAAAAACCATGATGGTAAGACTTTATTGTAGAATAGTTATCATCAGGAAAATGTCAGATTCCTGTTTATGCCAATAATGCATAGCATTTTAAAAACTTGATTATTTCACTTGTAGTGATTTGTGGTTATTCTTTTTAAGTACATTGTGTGTGCTAACCCATGTAATGGTGTTTGGAAATCCATGTAGTTGTTGCTTTCTTGTTCAAGAGGAGGAGAACCAGGTTTCACAAATTCTTTTTGATAAATTTATCATGGTAGTATTAATTTTAACTGTGTCAAGTGTAAAATGTTTTGTATTCCTAATTCAACAGTGTGCAAATATTGGGCCAGCAGATTACAATTATGATGAAACTATCAGTACATTGCGGTATGCTAACCGTGCTAAGAATATTAAAAATAAAGCTAGAATTAATGAAGATCCAAAAGATGCTTTGCTTCGCCAGTTTCAGAAAGAAATAGAAGAACTGAAAAAGAAGCTTGAAGAAGGTAACTTTTTCTCAGAATATTGTTGGCTAAAAATATGTTGCTTAACCACTAAGTGTTCTACTAAAAACCACTTACTAAAATTCTCTGAGCACCTAACTTTGATTTTTTTTTTAAATTTTTATTTATTTATTTATTTATGATAGTCACAGAGAGAGAGAGGCAGATACAGGCAGAGGGAGAAGCAGGCTCCATGCACCGGGAGCCCGATGTGGGACTCGATCCCGGGTCTCCAGGATCGCGCCCTGGGCCAAAGGCAGGCGCCAAACCGCTGCGCCACCCAGGGATCCCCTAACTTTGATTTTTTAAAAAAATTTATTTAAATTCAGTTTGCCAACATATAACCCCCAGTGCTCATCATGTGGCCTTCTTATTGCCTGTTACCCAGTTACCCTGTCCCTCCACCTACCTCCCCTTCTGCAATCCTTTGTTTCCCAGAGTTAGGAGACTCTCATGGTTTGTCTTCCTCTTTAATTTTTCCCCACTCAGTTTCCCCCCTTCCCTTATAGTCCCTTTTACTATTTTTTGTATTCCACATATGAGTGAGACCATATGATAATTGTCTTTCTCTGATTGACTTTTTTCACTCAGCATAATATCCTCCAGTTCCATCCACGTCAATATAAATGGTAGCTATTCATCCTTTCTGATGGCTGAGTAATATTTCATCGTGTTTATATACCCCATCTCCTTTATCCATTCATCTGTCAAAGGACATTATAGCTCCTTCCACAGTGTGGCTGTTGTGGACATTGCTGCTATGAACATTGGGGTGCAGGTGTCCCATCGTTTCACTACATCTGTATCTTTGGGGTAAATACCCGGTAGTGCAATAGTACAATTACTAGGTCATAGGGTAGCTCTATTTTTAACTTCTTAAGGAACCTCCACACTGTTTTCCAGAGTGGCTGTACCAGCTTGCATTCCCACCAACAGTGCAAGAGGGTTCTGCTTTCTCCACGTCTTCGCCAACATTTGCTGTTTCCTGTCTTGTTAATTTTTGCCATTCTCACCAGTATAAAGTGGTATCTATTTGTATTTCCCTGATGGCAAATGATGTAGAGGTTTCTTCATGTGCTTGTTGGCCATGGGTAGATATTCTTTGGAGAAATGCCTGTTAATGTCTTCTGCCCATTTTTTGATTGGATTGTTTGTTTCTTGGGTGTTGAGTTTGGTAAGTTCTCTCTAGACCTTGGATACTAGCCCTTTATCTGATACGTCATTTGCAAATATCCTCTCCCATTCTGTAGGTTGTCTTTTAGTTTTGTTGACTGTTTCCTTTGCTGTGCAGAAGCTTTTTATCTTGATGAAGTCCCAAGAGTTAGTTCATTATTGCTTTTGTTTCTCTTGCCTTCATTGATGTATCTTGCAAGAAGTTGCTGTGGCCATGTTCAAAAAGGTTGTTGCTTGTGTTCTCCTTTAAGATTTTGGTGGATTCTTGTCTCATATTTAGATCTTTCAACCATTTTGAGTTTATCTCTGTGTATGGTGTGAGAGAATGGTCTAGTTTCATTCTTCTGCATGTGGATGTCCAATTTTCCCAAAACCATTTATTGAAGAGACAGTCTTTTCTCCAGTGGATATTCTTTCCTGCTTTGTTGAAGATGAGTTGACCATAGAGTTGAGGGTCCATTGATCTGTCTGTTTTTGTGCCGATACCATGCTGTCTTGATGATCGCAGCTTTGTAATACAGCTTGAAGTCAGGCTTTGTGATGTCCCCAGCTTTGGTTTTCTTTTTCAACATTCCTCTGGCTATTTGGGATCTTTTCTGGTTCTATCTAACTTTGATATTTATTTATTTATTTATTTATTTTTAAAGATTTTATTTATTTATTCATGAGAGAGACACAGAGAAAGAGGCAGAGATACAAGCAGAGAGAGAAGCAGGCTCCATGCAGGGAGCCTGACGTGGGACTTGATCCCGGGTCTCCAGGATCAGGCCCTGGGCTGAAGGTGGTGCTAAACTGCTGAGCCACCTGGGCTGCCCTAACTTTGCTATTTAAAGGAATATTTCTGCAAGGTGCTTGATACACACTTCAGCATTTTCATATTAAGTTTAATTATTTAATATTTATTTATGTCATTTTAAAAAATTGTTTTAACTTAAACCTCCATCTCAATCATCTCAGTCTCCATGACCTTTTATAGATTTCATTTGACCATTTACTAAATAATGAATTTTTTTTGTGTGTCGAAGAACAAATTTTACCATATATGTATTTGGGTGAAAATGACCCAGAGTTCTTTGTGAAAGATACCAGTCACTGTTATTCAAAGTAAAGAAACTTATTAGAGTCATGGGTAAACCAAATTTACAATAAGTAAAAATTCATTGCCTTTGAAAATATGCTTTCATGCTTAAATTTGAACATGAGATTCTGTTTGGAGAATTCTTTTCTAACGATGTTAGAAGGTTAGAAGGTTTGAAGACCTTGTTCATGAGGGTGAGAAGTTTACTGCTTGTCATTGAGTGGTCAGTGACTTGCTACACTTTCATGCTAAGAACTGATAGATATAGAACTCCTTTTCATACCAGATAAAAAAGGGCTTTTGAGTGGCTTTTTTACAGTTTACAGGGAAGCTGGATAGAACATATATGAACTGCAGAGATGCCACCATCACATATGTTTGAAAAGGGTACTGGTTTAGTAAACTTGAATAAGATTATTGAGGAATAATCTCAATAGCTGAGCTGCCCTCTCAGATAATGAAATTTGGTATTTTAAATATGGCCACTAGGTGGTATTTATAGTCAATATGTCTTAAAGATTTAAGATTTCTTAGATTTGTTAATGTTGAATTCACACCTTTATTTTCCTGCCTTTATTTTTTCACGTTTTTACATAGGGGAAAAATATACAGGATGTAAAATTTACTGTTTCAACTATTTTTATTCTGTGGTATTAAGTATGTTAAAATTGTTCTGTAACCATGATTATCATCCATCCCTTAAACTTTTTAATCATCCCCAAATGAGGTTCTGTACCCAGTAAACATTAACTCTCCATCCCCTCCTATCCTCCTCTCTGCCTCAGCTCATGATAACACTATGCTATATCTGAATTTGACTGTTCTACATAATTCATAATGCCCTCAGGGTTCATCCATGTCATAGCATGTATCAGAATTTCCTTCCTTTTTTTAAAAAAAATTTTTTTTTAATTTCCTTTCTTTTTGAGGCTAAATAATATCTCTTTTTTTTGTCTATTACCACATTTTATTTAGCCATTCATCTTTTGATGGACACGTAGGTTGCTTCTGCCTTTTGACTACAAAAAATAATCTGGCTATGAATGTGGGTATATAGATAATACATGTTTGAATTCTTGTTTTCAATTCTTTTGAGTATATATCCAAAAGTGGAATTTGATAGATCATGTGGTAATGCTGACTTTATTTTTAAACACTTAATTTCATAGATGTTTATGATATTTGTTTTTATGATCCAGTTAACAGTGTTATGATTAGTACAGTTGATCATATAAAAAAGTAGGTGGAAAACATTTAAAAGAGTAATTTTTAAAACTTTTTATAGACTTCTAGAAAACTTGGAAGTATGATGAGTTTCTGTATACCCATCACCCGGCTCGTCCTAATGTTAGCATCTTATATGACTGGAACATCTTAGAGTGAACATCTTACAGTTATTGGAACCAGGAAAATTTACATTGATACAAATTTATTAACTAACCTATCAATTTTATTCAGGGGTTGAGTTTGCCCTCTAGTCCAGGATACAGTCTTAGATCACATGTTGGATTTAGTTGTCAGGACCTGTTGGTCTCCAATCTCCAGTTCCTCATCTTTCTTTGTCTTTCATGGTCTTGGCACTGTAAAAGTCATATATTTGAAAAATGTTCCTCAATTTTGGTCTTCTGTAGTTCTCATAACTATTCTGCAAGGTCTCTTCACTACGAATTCTATAATTTTACATTTTCCTTTAAACTTAAGGTGTGTCTTGTGGGGAAATACTTTGGAACTATGAAAAGGTCCTGGTTCTCATCATACTTTTCCCCACTAATTGTAGCATCCTTTAGGGGTTCTTGCCAGCAACACTGATTCTTTGGCATCTGTTCATTGGGTGACTTTGTCTTCTCATTATTCCTTTTAATGTTTAATGTTAAGAATTCTATTATAAGGGGGAATAGTCCCTTCTCCCCCACTTGTTTATTCAGTTATTTATTGATGTCAGTATCAATTCATGCATATTTATTTTAGTCTGTACATTGTAATACAATAATATCATTATTTGTCTTGTTGCTCTGATTGTCCCGAGATTTGACCATAGGAGCTCCTTCAGGGTAGCTGCTGTATCCTTTCAGCATGCTTCCATCAGTTTTTTGATTTTTGGTTTTAAGTGCTTCTTTATTTCTGATACCACAGATGTTTTAGATTCATTTTATATGTTCCCTATCCTGGCCTTAAATCCATCTATTTCTCCCTGGTTCCTTTCAGTGGAGAATGGTATATAGAAACCCAAGACTTGGACATTAGGTGCATTTGTTGCTACCAGGATGTCATTGTACTAGGCCTAAAGAAAATATATATATTTTTAAAGATTTTATTTATCTACTTGAGAGAGAACATGAGCAGAGGGAAAGGCAGAGGGAGAAGCAGGCTCCCCTCTGAGCAGAGAGCATGATGTGGGGCTTATTCCAGGACCTGAGATCATGACCTGAGCCAAAGGCAGACATTTAACTGACTGAGCCACCCAGGCGCCCCAATAAAAATATTTTTTTTAAAGATTATTTATTTATTTATTTATTTATTTATTTATTTATTTATTTATGATAGACACACACGGGGGGGTGGGGGACAGAGACACAGGCAGAGGGACAAGCAGGCTCCATGCCGGGAGCCCGACACAGGACTCAATCCCGGGACTCCAGGATCGTGCCCTGGGCCAAAGGCAGGCGCCAAACCACTGAGCCACCCAGGGATCTCCAATGAAAATATTTTAAATGAATTTTTCTCCCAATATGCTGATATCTTCCTATCCATTATTTAATGTTTAGATATTATCGTTTATGATTAGTGTATATTTATTTTTTTCACCAATTATGTTTGTTTTTTTAGACATTTCATACATGGACAGTGTTATTTTTAAATAACTACTATGGAAGTTATTGATATTAGTTTAATTACACCCTTTTATTTGATTTTTTGTTTCTTTTTAAGCTATTTTTGTACTAATAAGCTCTTCTTATGATATAGTCCTTCTTTTCTTATGATATAGTCCTAAAAGTGGGATCACTGTGTTAGATGAGTTTTATTGTTCTTAAAAAATATGTAGGGTGAATGAATTTTTTAAAATCTTGAACAGAGGGGATCCCTGGGTGGCTCAGAAGTTTGGCACCTGCTTTTGGCCCAGGGCATGACCCTGGAGTCCCAGGATCGAGTTCCACGTCGGGCCTCTTGCGTGGAGCCTACTTCTCCTTCTCCCTCTGCCTGTGTCTCTGCCTGCCCCTCTCTCTCTCTCTCTCTCTCTCTCTCTCTCTCTCTCTCGTGTCTCTCATGAATAAATGAATACAATCTTTTTAAAATTTTAAAAAATAAAAAAATCTTGAACAGAGGGGGTGCCTGGCTGGCTTAATTGGTAGAACATGTGACTCTTGATGTCTGGGTTGTGAGTTTGAGCCCCAGGTTGGGTATAAAGATTACTTAAAAATTAAAAAAAAAATTTTTTTTAGGATTATTTACTTATTCATGAGAGACACAGAGGCAGAGACATAGGCAGAGGGAGAGGCAGGCTCCCTGCAAGGAGCCTGATGTGGGACTTGATCCCAGGATCCCGGGATCATGACCTGAGCTAAAGGCAATTGCTCAACCACTGAGCCATCCACGTGCCCCTAAAAATAAAATCTTATGCAAAAACTGAGAAGAAAATGCTCCTCCAAAGTGATTACTTTTTTAAAAAGCTGAAATAATGACTTCTAATGTGAAATTTTTACGTATACATAGAACTTTATTAAACTTATCATTTGAAATTTTAAGTAGATTAGAATTTAACTTTTTAGGAACTTTGAAATAAAGCCTCTGTGTACATTATATCTTTTCCTGAGGTTAGCATATGTGATATACTGTTTAGGAACATTAAAATACAGTTTGTTTAGGGCAACAAACTTGATTGATTGATTTAGATTTTATTTATTCATGAGAGACAGGCCAGAGATGTAAGTAGAAGGAGAAGCAGGCTCCCTGTGGAGCAGGGAGCCCAATGATGGACTCAATTCCAGGACCACAGGATCATGCCCTGAACTGAAGGCAGATGCTTAACCACTGACCCACCCAGGCATCCCAGGGCAACAAACCTAATGAAGAAAATTGATACAAGCCATGACCTGGTATAGAATATAAATTGTTTTGTAAAATTTCTATTCAAGGGGAAGAAATATCAGGTTCTGATATCAGTGGGTCGGAGGAAGAGGATGATGAAGAGTGTGAGGTCGGAGAAGATGGAGAGAAAAGGAAAAAAAGAAGGGGTAAGTTCTTTTTAGTGTTCTAGAAATCAACTGGGATTGCTCCCTAAATATGGTTTAACATTCAACTGAGTGCATGCCTTTTCTTTTGCCATTTTTAGTTATGGTAGCAATTCACACAGGAAATATCCATATACATAGTTAACTTTGCCTTATTTTTTCTTCCTATGCTGATCTCCTACTTACAGTTGAATCATAATACCATATGTTCTGTCCTTTACAATTTAGAATTGTAAAAATCTGTGATAGTGCTTATATGTAAAGATTTCATTCAGGGTTTTAATTTTATGTGGGGCCTTTGATTTGTGTTGGGAACCTAAAATGTTTTTTAGGAAATCAGGTTAATGTGGAGTTTTTCTCAAGCATGCTTAGGCTTTAGAAGTCACTGTATTTTTAAATGGTGAATTTCTATGAGGATTCCATTTTTTAATTTAATACTTTGCTTTATAAAATGTACTTTCATTCTTATCCCTCTTATGGGGCATTTGTTGCCAAGTGTGAAGTTTGTATTTATTGTGATAAAGATATAGTTAACAGGCAAAAGAGAGAGACATATTATAATGGCCCACTTTTCAAACATTTTTGCTCTTAATGTTCATTTGTTTCAGAACTCTCTTCCATTAGTGTGGATCATTAATGTGTGGATCATTGTTTTCAAGCTGGTGCATATTTTGCTTGTCTTACTAAAATGATCTTGCTCTGAAATAAACCCAGGAATCCCAAATTTTAAAACAAAGGGTTCTGTAACTTCAAAGGACAGGAAGATGATGATTTAGAGAAAGAGCTGACCAACTATAGTCTACTGGCCAAATCCTGCCCACCACCTGTTTTCGTAAATAAAATTTTATTAAAGATCCATGAGCATTTGTTTACATTTGGTGTACAGCTGCTTTCACATGAGACTATATGGCCCACAAAGCCTCAAGCACTTATTATCTGTCCCTTAACAGAAAATGCTTGCTGACCCCCTTGTTTAGATAAATCGTTTTGTGTTCATCCCTATTTTCTCACAGACTATTCATAGCTAAAGCAGATAATAGATTTGTTAAAAATAAAATGTAAAATAGAAAAAAATGCTGTTGCTTAATATGTTAAAATATTTTTTAGTAAGGTATCCTTTTAGGCTTAAATTTTTTTAAATTTTCATTGAGCCTTTCATAGTTTTGCTATGAAACCATGAGCTTACATAATTATATCCACTTGCTTGATGTTTTGGCAGATAGTAAAATTGGAGACAAACCAAGCTATCTATAATGAAGGGTAATTCATCATTACTGTAGTTTCAATTGTGCATGACTTTAAATTTTAAAACTCACTTCCTGTAACTTACCAACTAAGTAGTGTAAATAATTTAAATTTTAAATAACAAATGACTTAGTTTTTTATTCACGTCATTCCAACCCTCTGAATTACTATGTTTTAAGTGGGTGATGCAATTTTCCCACAGTAGATGCTTAAAGGAATCCAGTTTCTAATTGCCCTGTCTGGCTTTGTAACCAGAGAATATTGGGTAGTCTACCAAGACTGGTATTAAGGGAAAGTAAGTTTTGATTTTTTAATGCAAAGCTTGATTGTTCTTTAAAATTCTCTCGCTGGAACTGACTTTTCCTCTGTGTATGTGTTCATTTACTTGTTTCCTCTTTCTTTGGTTCCCGTTGGGCTCATTTCTTTGTCTTCCAGGCAGTAGCAGCAGCAGTAGTTCAGACTCCACATGTTCTGTCATAGAGAAACCTCTGGATAAGTCCTTGCCTAGTGAGTGGTAGCTCTTAAATTCTCTCACAGAGCTTTGGCTTTTCCATAACCCATGGGCTTCATTTGAGAAATGCTGCACTGCTCCCCGTCATTACTGAAAGAATACATGTTGGACTTCTCAGTAGAACAAAGCATGTGGTTATTTCCTCCCTTCTTCATCGCTTCCAGTTAACCATAATTGTTAAAATGTGTGCTTTAGCTTATCTTTGAGACAATGGAAGAGAGATTCATGCTTTTGCCATTGAGATAATGTAAAGAGAGCTAGTAAGCTGTATAAAAGAATAATTCTTATGGTTCCTTTTTATGTTTTGGAACAAACTAATCCTAGTGAATATAAGAGATATGCAATAACAAATCCTGAATTCCTAAAAGTACAAATGTTTGGCAATACACCAGTGCCCATTATAACATGTCTTAAGTTATAAGATTTTATGCTTTGGTGTCCTATTCTTAGGTGTAGCTTAAGCTTGAAAGCTCCCAAATAAAGAAAAATGTAAAGTTTGAAGCAAGTAAAAATATATTGGATAGTATTTTATTTCAGATGGCCACTTTTCTCTATTTCTCAACTACCTGATTGATTTTAAGAAACTTTCTAAGGTATGATTGGAGAATTCAGATCCACAAGAAGTTGTTTATGCAGGATCTATCTAGATGTATTTCAGTCCTAAAAGCTTTTTCTTAAACCTTAAATCAGTTTAAAAATATTATTAATTTTGTGTATATTTTTAGAAGAAAAAGGAATTGATGTTTTCTTCTACTAGATTGCAGCTTACTGCCTTTTAAAGCATTATCTTTGTAGTTATTTTTCTAAAACTATTAACAGTTATTCTTACACATTTAGCTTTCTAGAAGAAGAATTCCAAGAATATTAGAATTGTTTTCTCTCTTAACTCTTACATTTTACCAAAACAATTAATTTCATAGGACAATTTCTGAAATACAAGAAATTGCTTTAGAAACCGTATAGAGGTATTATTTTGTATTATAAACTGTCAGATATGAGGAAATACCTGAGTGGAGGCATTATAATTTAATTTTCTATTTTAAAACTTCCCTTAATCTTTAAAAAATAGTTACATGAAAGTATGTTATGAAATGAGTTGTACTTGGTTCAGTTCATGCAGTTTTAGTTACTGTTTGTATATCTAGCACATTAAGTTCTTCTGTTGTGATGTGGGTGTGTTGGTGAAATGGAAAAATGGTTTTCCCAGCATGTGGTTGCTGTGTGTAACTCGTATGTACCTTCCCTTTTAAAAATACGAATGGCTTTTTTTAAGGTGTTCTTTGCTTGAGTCATCAGTTGATCATTTACCTCTATGGAATCATAATTACCCTTAACAGGCTATGAATATATTGAATGCAAGTTTGTTATTATACAGGTGTACTTCACTTTATGCAGTTAATCTTTTTTTTTCCCTGAAAAAATTGCCTATAAATCAAATTGGAAAATCAAATCTATTGGGAGAACTTGCTGTCCTTAATATTTCTTCATTAAATCCTTTTATTAATCAAATTATCATTGCAAATTACTATAATCAGTTCATCTCTTTAGTTGATTCAGGTTTTTGTGTTGGATTTTTCTTAAAGGGGAGCCACACCTGTATGGAATCTTTATATTAGAACATTGAATTGGGAAATTTTGAAATCAACAATGCAAATTTTGCTCTTTTACTAATTTTTTAAATTGGCATGATTTTCTGTTTTGTCCTTTTAGATCACTTCCTGATCTTAGCAGGTTCCCAATTCCATGTGTACCATTAATATAACGACTTGGTGCTGAACTGTTATATTTGCAGGAGTTTGAGAGTCCTTGTGAGCTCTTGAGATCTATTTGAATTGTAATCTTAGTCTAAATTAATCTTATTTGCTTAAATTACATCTCTGTGTTAAATATGCTTTTCTTTTTACATAAAGCTCTGTTTCAGTTTTGATAATGATTTGATTTATTTCTATATACTATAAATAAATGCTATTATACATTTTTCTTTGTTTTACAAAGGAAATAATGTTTTTCTTTTTTTCCTCTTCATCTCTGTGCATATGCTTCCTGTCTACGATTTGCTTACTACTCTTACTGAAAGATCAAGCAGGTTGGTGTGATTGATTTGCACTCCACATGGTACAGTTATTTAAACTATAAAGAACTTTGTTATTTAACTACATTACATTTTTAAAATTTAATAGTTTTTTTTTACAAGGTAAGTATCTGTCTTTTGTATTTAAAAAAGCAACATTAGCTTTTAAAAATTTTTTTTCTCTTAAAAAATTTTATTTCAATTTTTGTTCAGGAAGATATTAGGAACATTCTTATTTCCAAATCATCTTTTTTGAAGAACAATTCATAAGTATCAGATTAACAGTGACAACCACACTGGATTCTCTAGACCTAATTAACAAAATAGACAAGAATAAATACTACACCAGAACCAGATGTTTCTTTTTTTCTAAATTTTTAAAGACTTTTAAGCCAAATTTTGGTAATACAAATATAAATGATTTTCACTGTCAAGCATTTTTTTAGAAGCAAGGAGTCAAATACTCGGTTACTTATGCCCATGGGTGCTCATGTAATAAAAATAAAATTAATTCAGTTAACTCTTCCTAAAATTCTTCCACTTTATCTTGCCAAAGTTCATTTTGATAATTTTGGTTGGAACACATGGCAAAGGGCAACTAAAAATATTACTACTCCTGTTTGTCTTAATTAAATACTTCATGACATCACCATTTTCCTAAGATTTATTTACCTGAAATTTTTTTTTGCTGAATACTGTCCTGCCATATTAGAAGAAGGGGTTTTGGTTGATTGGGTTAAGATTTTTAGAAAATGTTTTAAAAAAATCAATTTAAAAGTGACTTTTAATGATGTCATGATTTTAAGTGCCTGGTTAGGAGAGTTGGAACATATTCATATTTAGCCTAAAATGCTATTTGGAGAGAAGTACAATGATTTATGAGAATAATACTGGCTAGAAATTATGTTACTTAAATATTAAACTTTTGAAACTGAACCTAGCTGTAAATGCATAGTCGTCTTTATGAGAATAAGAGCACAATTAGATATTTGCTGCTAAAGCATCAGTTTGAAAATACTACCTGAATGGTTTTGAATAACTAATATAATTCAGGCCTAATAGTAATTCATCAACAGGTGTGCTTTTGTATTTCTACATATAATATTTTTTTTTTATTTTACTGCCTCTTAATGGGGTTGGAAACTGTATGTTTTTAACTGTTGTTAACCAAACATTTAGAACCCTACCAGCCTAAAAATTAATGTGCATATGTTTATCAGATCATTTCCACTATATTATTAGTATCCATGTCTTCACATAGAGGGGTTTTTTTTGGCCATAACATACTTGCCATTTTTCTTTATTTATAATTCTGAGGTGGAAAGTAACTTAAAATTTTTTAATGCATGCATTTTATTTACTTATTTTTAAAGATTTTATTTTTTACGTAACCTCTATATCCAACGTGGAGCTCGATCTTATAACCCCAAGATCACGAGTTGAATTTTCTACCAGCTATGCCAGCCAGGCACCCTCTGCATGCACTTAATACCTGAACTTATGCTTTTTCCCCTCAGATTTCTAAGAAGTAGTACTACTGATTAGAAATCCTTTCTAGGAGTTCACTGAGAGCAGGAATTAGATTACTTCTTAAAATTAAATTTTTAACAGCATAAATCAGAACATTCAATATAGGCAACTGTGCCGAAGAAGCCAACATATTCAGGTCTACATCCTGACTTTTGGAATGCAATGAATCACACCACACCAAAGCATGAATTTGGATCAGTGCTCTTATTTACTCTTTTATTTTAACTTACTTGTTTTGTGGTCTAAGTTCTCTTTGGACTTTTATTTCTGGAGAAATGAAAGATGTATTTTGCACCCTTGAGGTTTTGGGGGTTTTTTGTTTTTGTTTTTTTAATAATTGTATCCTAAAGATTTAAAATCTATGAATGATTCTTCATCTCATGGTTCCTGAAAGTACATATTCAGATATATATCTGCACCATCATTATCTTTCAGTTCTCTTCCCTTGTTAGCAGGAAAGGCTAGCTTTTGGGTGGAGACATTAACAATTTATAAACTCTTCTGGTTTATGCTCTTCTGTGGTCCTTTGGGAAGGAAGTTAAGAATGACAGAAGCTTTCAGGAGAGCCTCTCACCAATTCTACGAAAAGTTTGATTGTTTTTCTACAGAAAAGTATGTTTCAAAGAAGTTGTATTACCAGAAATGAATATATTTGATTCATTTCATAACCAGTTTAATAACCTAGTTTTTTGATTTTCTGATTTTTCATTTTAATTTCATGATTTTGAAGTTTATCCAATAATCTTTTATTGAACATCTGTTGTGTGTATATGAAGCCCTCTATGAGGCATTATAGCCAAGATAATCTTTTGGAAGCTGTATTTCCAGCTCTATTATTTGGTAGTATTTCTACTTATAGTTGATATTTGACATATTTAAAATGGCTTAGGTTTAAGATCCTGCGCTTGACATAATTACGGGCTATTTTAGTTGTTCATTTAAGACATGATGATAGATCATGGTAGATCAGCAACTGTAAAATGCTTGGTTATAAAATAACCATTTTATAATTAGTGTAGAACTTCATCCTTTAAAGTATACTATGAGATGAAATACTTCCAAGTAATTTTATTAGACATAAATTTTAGAAAAAGTGTGAAGATATATGTTAAAAACTTCCTGTTATAAATTTTGCCTCACACTTTCATCTGTGCATTTTATGCCTACTTGTGACTTCTTTTCATTAATTTAACAAATTTTAGGAAGGTATTTTGGGAAACCACTTGATTTTGTACCTAGTTATCAGAAAAAAGTAAATAATCATACTGTGTTTTTGAACATATGTATTATTTGGGGACCCATAGGTCTTTGGTTTTTTATTTACTTGGCTTTTTTTTTAATTTGGCTTTCTTTTATTAATCTTTCTTTCTCTTTTTTTCCCCCTACATACCTGTTTTGCTTCTCTTTCACATATTTTTGTTTGTAGTTATCGCACAATTACACAAGTTTGTTTAGCAATTAGTGAAAAAGATATTCCAGGAACATAATAAATAGAAATGAAATATTCATTTGATTTCCTTATAATGTTGATATTTGATTTTGTATTACTGAGGAATGTATCTCTTATAATTGAAGATAATTTCTACAAATTTGAAAAATGTGCTCTAAAGTGATTATTGGAACTAAATAACTCATATAGGTAAAAAGAAAGTGTCCCCAGATAAGATGGTTGAAATGCAAGCAAAAATTGATGAGGAGAGAAAAGCACTTGAAACAAAGCTTGATATGGAAGAAGAAGAAAGAAACAAGGCTAGAGCTGAATTAGAGAAACGGGAGAAAGATCTTCTTAAGGCCCAGTGAGTAATACTTAATTGAGAGGGATTTGTGATTTAGATTTCTGGTATTTTTCTTAAGATGTATAAGCAAGAAAATTGAATCGTAATTGGCTTGATTTTTGTCTTCAGGATAGCTTTTTTGGTCAGAAGGTTTTGTGGTATTTGTTCTATTTCTAAAAATTTGTTTTTATTACTTTGTCTCTAGGAGGAAAAATTATCAGTGAATTTGGATGTTAGAGATTAAAGCATAATACTACACTGTGATATAATTTGATAGAAATGTTACATGATTATATCCCTCTTTTGAAATTTTGCATTGAAATACTTGTAAAGTTTTGGAAACTAATATTGGTAGATAGTAGATAATTGATGGATATTAAGTATTCTCATTTTTAATCAACAGACAAGAACATCAGTCTTTGCTAGAGAAATTATCTGCCCTGGAGAAGAAGGTAATTGTTGGTGGTGTTGATTTGTTGGCAAAAGCTGAGGAACAAGAGAAACTTCTTGAAGAATCTAATATGGAACTGGAAGAACGGAGGAAAAGAGCAGAGCAACTTCGCAAAGAACTTGAGGAAAAAGAGGTGAGTTTCTGGTTTTGGTTGACACTTTGCATTAGGTATTAACTTCTCTAATGAAAAGCTTTATATCCACTATCTTTAAGTGTAGTGGGCACATAGTGTTACACTAGTTTCAGATGTACAACATGTCATGATTAAATGTCTCTGTTATTCTATGCCCAACATACATCTAGCTGCCATCTGTCACCTATGATCCTATGACAGTACCATTGACTGTGTTCACTATGCCGTACCTTTCATACCCATGAGTTACTCCATAATTGAAGGCCTGTACCTCCCATTCCCCTTCACCCATTTTGCCTGTCTCACCCCAAACCCAGCCATCTGTTCTCTGTAGTGATGAGTTTCTGCTTTTTGTTTACTTTTGTACATTATTCTGTGTTTTAGATTGCACATATAAGTGAAATCATATGGTATTTGTCTTATATCTATAATCTTAATAAAATTTTAAAGCAGATCTGTGAATTGCTTTGAAAGATAATAGTTGTGAGACGCATGAGTGGCTCAGTGATTGAGCATCTGCTCTCGGTTCAAGGCATGATCCGGGAGTCCTAGGATCAGGTCCCACATTGAGCTCCCTGCATGGAGCCTGCTTCTCCCTCTGCTTATGTCTCTGCCTCTCTTTCTGTGTCTCTCATGAATAAATAAAATCTTAAAAAAAAAAAGATAATTAGTTGCTAAACATTTTTATCATCTGTTAAATAACTTACGATTTAATGAAGAAAATAATTCTGAAGTTTATAAATTTTTGTCACAGCAAGAACGCTTGGATATTGAAGAAAAATATACCAGCTTACAAGAGGAAGCACAGGGAAAAACCAAGAAATTAAAGAAAGTTTGGACTATGCTAATGGCTGCAAAATCAGAGGTTGGTCTCCTAGAAATTACCTACAAATGTAGCTCTGAATTAAAAAAATTTTTTTTGAATAAGTATGACTGAGTCTTAAAGAGATCACAGTGTATGCTTACAATTTTAAAGAAAGAACATTTTCTCCTTTGTGTGCAATTTCAAATTTTAGCTGTTAAGTTATATTGTATATTTCCAACCTTAATAACATGGACATAGACAGTGATGGGCAGTGTCATTCTGTCCATTGTTTATGAAAGAACTGAGTAAGCTCTTACAGGGTTTCTTAAACCAGTGCCTATATCGGATGGGACTGTGTTATATTTGAAATCTTATTTTCCCTTAGTATTTTTATTGATTTTTCTGGTAGATGGCTGATCTCCAACAGGAGCATCAGAGGGAAATTGAAGGCCTACTGGAGAATATTCGACAACTTAGCCGGGAGCTCCGACTTCAGATGCTTATCATTGATAACTTTATACCTCAAGATTATCAGGTAAGAGAGAAGTTTTCTGCTCTAGATAGTACATCACTGGCTGGAGTGAAGAAATAAGGATTATAAATTCTAATTTAATTGGTGGTAAATATTTACATTTAAGTTGTTGACAGTAAAATTTTCTTGAACTAATGCCATCACATTTCACTTCAGCTATTAACTTTTCTTAATACTAAATTCTCTGTTAGAGTATATAAGTATCTATATAAGAATTTCTCAGCCCTTTGCAGAAACCCAAATTTATGTAATTGCATTCAGAATCAAGGTATAGGTCTTATTTATTCATTCAGTATAATTAATCCTATAAATAGAATAAACAGTACTCTTTTACTAATTTTTCCTACCTGTTTATGGATACCAGTTGTGTGCGTGTGCATGTGTGCTTTCATGTGGTGTAGTGTGGTAAATATGGTAAAATATACATAACATGTAATTTACCTTTTTTTTCTGGAGATACCACTTACTGCAACATTATTTATAATAACAAAGACATGGAAACAACCTAAATGTAGACAATAGAAAGAGAAAATGTGCATACATGTAGTAGAATATGCTGTTTTGTTTTTTAAAAATTTTTTAAAGATTTTTTTATTTATTCATGAGAGACAGAGAAGCAGAAACATAGGCAAAAAGAGAAGCAGGCTTCATGCAGGGAAGCCAGTGCAGGACTCGATCCAGGACCCCAGGATCATTCCCTGGGCCGAAGGCAGACTCTCAACCACTGAGCCACCCAGGCATCCCAGAATATACTCATTTTTTAAAAAAAAGGGAAATTCTACTATTTGCTACTACATGGATGAACTTTAAAGACATTATGCTGAAGGAAATAAATCAGACACAGAAGAACATATAAGCTATTGTCTTAAAAATAAAAAACAGTGAAACTCATAGAGGCAGAGGGTAGAATGGTGGTTACCAAGGGCAGGGGGCAAAAAGAATCAGGGAGTTGTTGGTTTATAGTTTTACTTAAGGTGAATAAGCTTTAGAAATCTATATACCATAGTGCATATAGTTAACAATATTGTAATGTATGCTTAAAAGTTTCTTTTTATTTTATCTTATTTAAATTCAGTTAATTAACATATGGTGTATTATTAGTTTCAGAGGTAAAGTTCAGTGATTCATCAGTTGCGTATAACACACAGTCGTCATTATATCATGTGCCCTCCTTAATGCCCATCACCCAGTTACCCCATCCCCTACCCTCCTCCTCTATACCAGCCCTGTTTGTTTCCTATAGTTGAGTGTTTCTTATTGTTTGTCTCCCAAAATTTACCTTTTTAAACAGTTTTTAAGAATATAGTTCAGGGGTGCCTAGGTGGCTCAGTCAGTTAAGCGTCCGACCCTTGATTTCACCTCAGGTCATGATCTCAGAGTTGTGAGGTCAAGCCCTGCATCTGGCTCTGTGCTCAGCAGGGAGTCTGCTTGATACTCTCTTTCTCCCTCTCCCCTTCCTGCTCTCTCTCTCTCATACTCTCTCCCTCTCCCCCTCTTTCCCTACCCCCTTTCTTTTTCCCTCTCCAAAATAAATAAATTAATTTTGACAGAAGAAAAAGAATACAGTTCAGTGACATTAAGTACATTCACAGTGTTTTGCAATCATCACTGCCATCCATCTCCAGGTGGCTGCTGATTTTCAATTCTAGTATAACTTTAAAGTCAGCCTTTCTGTTTCTTTACTCAGTATTTCCATTTTTCTAGTACATTTTGTTTTAAAAAATTTTAATTTGTTGGGGATCCCTAGGTGGCTCAGCGGTTTAGCGCCTGCCTTCGGCCCAGGGCGTGATCCTGGAGTCCCGGGATCGAGTCCCACATCAGGCTCCCTACATGGAGCCTGCTTCTCCTTCTGCCTGTGTCTCTGCCTCTCTCATGAATAAATAAATAAAATCTTAAAAAAAATTTTTTTTAAATTTGTTGATTGATTTTATTTCTTTGACAGAAAGAGCACACACAAGCAGGGAGACACAGCAGAGAGAGAGGGAAAAGCAGGCTCCCTGCTGAACAGGGAGGGACTCAATCCCAGGACCTTGGGATCATGACCAGAGCTGAAGACAGACACTTAACTGACTGACCCACTCAGGCGCCCCTCTAGTACATTTTAGTACACCTTAACATACTGATTTTTCAAAAACTTTTGAGTCTATATAGCTTAAAGATTTTTTTTTTGAAAATCGCTTTAATATTCTTTTTCCTCTGGACCTCAGGTGCTCAGAATTAATTACTGGTTTATGGTACATTTTCCTTATTGGTCCTTGGATGACCTGCTTTTATTTAGTTGGTTAGTTTTTGGTTTGTTTGGGTTATTTTGTAATGAGCTTGTCATGAATAGCAAAAGCTAGTATCACCACAGTAACCTACTTCTAACCAAATGGTTTCCCTCTTCCCTCTTCCATCCCTTTGCCTCTTCCAACCCAAGGTAACCATCATCCCAAATCCCATGTTCTTCACTTTTTATTTATTTTTTTTTAATTTTTTTTTTATTTATTTATGATAGTCACACAGAGAGAGAGAGAGAGAGGCAGAGACACAGGCAGAGGGAGAAGCAGGCTCCATGCACCGGGAGCCTGACGTGGGATTCGATCCCGGGTCTCCAGGATTGCACCCTCGGCCAAAGGCAGGCGCTAAACCGCTGCGCCACCCAGGGATCCCTAAAATGTATTCTTTTTAAGTGTATAAAAAAGTTATAGTGCAATATGTGATGTTTTGAGGCAACTTCTTTTACTTAATAAGATTGTAGTTTTGTGAATATTTTCCAGTATTTCAAATGTTACTAAATATTAACACTAGACCATGTTTGACTCTTAAAAGGAAATGATTGAAAACTATGTCCATTGGAACGAAGACATAGGAGAATGGCAGCTAGTGAGTATTACCTTCATCCTTTCATGAAATACTTATAGAGTGTTTCCTATAGACTGGGTCTGTGCTGGCTTTGGGGAGAGAAGGATGGTCCAGACAATGAATCAGATGAGAAGCCACTAGGGTGGATAAGATATTTTTCTAATTAACTATATCATAGTTACTATATTAGTTACTACTAATATACTAATTAATTATATTATAGTTACTATAGTTCCATTACCTTGGAAATGGTGTAGTTTAGGGCTTCTTAGGACTGTATGACCTGTAGATCCTTTTCTTTTCCAACATTCAAATTTTCAGAATGTTTTATGAGTGTAACATCAGTAAATCTCATAGTAATTTGCCTTGTTTACAATATTAGTTGCTAATTAAGACATTTTTCCTCCCTCTTCTTTATTTTCCTTTTTTGAGAAATGTGTTGCCTACACAGGAAATAACATGAGGAAGCAGACTCCAGCTCCTGATAAAAAAGAGAAAGATGTGAGTGCTTTTTTTTTTTTTTTGAACTACAGTTTCTTTATAGTAATGTGGGTCACTAAGTTGTGTTATCACTATGATATAAGTTAATCAGCTCTGCTGAAAAATAGGCCGATCTCCGAGAAGAGAAGCCTTTAGAGGGGTAATAGAGAACATTTCTACTCCCCTCAGTCATGAGAGCAAAAAAAAAAAAAAGTCATGAGAGCAGGCTTAGGCTTTGCACCACAGGAGGGGCATGGCGCTTCTTCAGAGCACTCTTCACCACCTCTCTAGGCCGTGGGTTGATAGAGACCAGAATGGGTCTGTACTTCTCAAAGCTAATCCTAGACATAAGTCAGCAAGAGGAAGTAGCAGATGTAGGGAAAAAAACAACAGTGTTCCTTTCCTAGAAAGGAATTTATAGTATGTCAGGGCTTCTTATTTACCACCCTTTGGTGAATACATTTGAGGTAAATGGCATTAGAAGAAGATATCCTTAGACATTTATTTGGTCTTGTGTCCTGCAGGTGTTTTCTAGGAGTTTATTCAGTATTTAAAATCTTCTCCTCAAATCTGGTTTAAATGCTTTCTATAAGAGTGTCTTTTGTTTGTTCCCTTTACTTAGCCCTTTGAAGTGGACCTTTCCCACGTGTATCTTGCCTACACTGAGGAGAGTCTCCGGCAGTCCTTGATGAAATTAGAGAGGCCACGGACTTCTAAGGGGAAAGCAAGGCCAAAGACAGGGCGAAGGTAAGGACTGCCTTTCAGCACTAGGAAATAAAAGACAGTAAGATATTCTAATTAGACACATTGAGAGGAAATTTAGTTTACATAATCAATATTTTAGTTCTATTAAAAAGCTGCATTTTAGATGTATTTAAATAAATATCAGAGTCCTTATGTAGTTACGATTTGAGTAAGTAAAAACTAAAGAATTAAGTCTTCCAACTTCTTTAGCCCCCTAATAGAGTTTAATTTACTTTGTTCTATCCAAATGTATTAGAAATCATCTATTATCTTAATTCCTTAATTCTTAACAGTAATTCTTCTATTGAAATGGTTAATTTGCCTACTCGACTCCCAAAGTCTTGTATTTGCTGCCTTGCTTTTCTATCATAAACATTGCCCCAATAACCTTGACCTTCTCAGTCACCATTCTTTCCCTCTCCTTTGAGTGCTGATTTTGACTGTTGAGTAGTCCATATATATCATATATAATAAGCCCAGGGAAATCAGGGCTGAAGCTTATTTTTTTCCTTACATTACTATCCTGCTTATTTAAGCTGATTGTAATACATGGGGCTCCTGTTTATTGATAGGAAATAATAAGCTTGATTTTCCCCTACTTTGAGTATGTAGACTTCTCAGTTACTTGTAAGATGAAGTTGTATGGTTTTACTATCTTTGTGTTACATAACATAGATGGTAACCTAACATTTATAAATTTGGTATAGTTGAACTCAGGAGGAATCAGTAGCATTTTAAAAGTGTACAAGTTTTTACCTTTTTTTTTTTAATCACATTTAGGTGCCAGTTGTTAAAAACTTTTCATATGTCAACAGAACCCATGTGTATAATACTTAGTGAATGAAGAAATCAAAGAAATACAAATCTTGTTAGATCTTTCGTTTTCCCATTTTTAATAAAGATATTTTCCTTTTAACTCTGCAGTTAATAAGAAAAACTACAATGAAAGGTGATGATAAGTAGTAAGGCAGTTGGCCTTAGCCTAAGAAAAATAGGCAGTGGTTGGGACTGGGGCAAAGTGAAGAGTGGTCTGTCTGGATTAAGTGGCAACTACCCTGTTCCTAGTTAGTTTTGGGAATAAAGGGCCTATTGTTTCTGGATCTTCTCATTTCAGAGGAGGAATGACATCTCATAGTTTTTAGTCACTTTCTTTTTTTTTAACCATTAGGACTTAAACAATTTGATAAGGTATGTGAATAGAGTTTTCAGAATGGTCACTTAAAAAATACTTCTTTTTTAGTTTAACATAAAAAAAAAAATTCATGGGCAGCCCCGGTGGCGCAGCAGTTTGGCGCTGCCTGCAGCCCGGGGTATGATCCTGGAGACCGAGGATCGAGTCCCATGTCAGGCTCCCTGTGTGGAACCTGCTTCTCCCTCTGCCTCTCTCTCTCTCTGTCTCTCTCTGTCTATGAATAAATAAAAATAAAATCTTTAAAAAAAAATTCATTTGGGCCTACATTAGATGAGCCAAACTTTTTTTTTTTTTTAGATGAGCCAAACTCTTACCATTAACCTTCGAAACAATAGATGGCCATAAACATAGCTAAATATATACAATATAAAGTTTATTGATAATGCATTACATTACCTTATGATGCTTAATGTGATATCCTCATTAAAGATTCATAGTTCGGGGGATCCCTGGGTGGCTCAGTGGTTTAGCGCCTGCCTTTGGCCCAGGGCACAATCCTGGAGTCCCGGGATCGAGTCCCACGTCAGGCTCCCGGCATGGAGCCTGCTTCTCCCTCCTCTTGTGTCTCTGCCTCTCTCTCTCTCTCTCTCTCTCTCTCTCTCTCTCTCTCTCTCTATCATAAATAAATAAATCTTAAAAAAAAATTCGTAGTTAGGTGTGCCAAGCAAAGTTCCAGTGAACATAGTACATTCATGTAGCATTTCCATTGGTTCCTACACATTGTAAGTTGTTGCTTCAGATAATTTGTGTCTCTTTTTTTTTCACTGAACAAACCTATACCTTCAGCGTGCCCCAGAGCAGATAATCAAGGGGTTCAAGTCTGAAGCCCACGTGGCCTGTCTAGTCCAATTTCAAAGTTTTCATCCACTCAATCCCTTACATTCTGGTGGTGGGATGGAGTGCCATGCTCTTGCATGTACTTCAGATGACTTCCCCTGGCCTAAAAAGGTGGGCTTTAATTGATCTCCTAACATGGTCAAACGTGTCAAACATTGGCCTGTTTCTAGACCTATGACCACCCTGTTTTACCTGCTACATAATGTAAAGTGTTTGCATTCAGTCTTCTAGAAAAGCATTCATGTTGTCTTTTTTCTCTTCTCCAAACAGAAAGCGTTCTGCAAAGCCTGAAACTGTAATTGACTCTTTACTTCAGTAAATGTTACAGATTTAAAGTCACAATAAAAATTAGTGATATTCTCATGTCTGGACAAAGTCTTTAATTAAAACACTGAAGACTATTCTGTAATTTCAAATAATGGAAGCTGTAATTCATGGAGTAAGACTGGAACTAATGACTTGCCTAATAAGTCTTAGCCAATATATATATATTAATGTCATATTGAAATTGTACAACTGATAATCCTTCAAATTGTTGTATTATGCTCCAGTTTATAATTGTGCAGGGAAGTTGGGGGAGCAGCTCTTACTATAAAGAGTTGCAGTTTAAATGTATACATAAATCTGCTAGTGATTATTCAGCTACTGTAAGATTAGGTAACTAGGTAGTCAAAATAGAAAACAAACAATGTATGTCCTCTTTTGCACACAGAAAGTAGCAGATCTCCTTGTCTTGTTGTTGTGCTGTCATATATGAATGTATGGGCTACATATATGAGAAATTATTTGATCTTAACACCTGCCTGGTCTGTTTAAAAATAATTTTTGCACTAACATTCATTGCATTTTAAGTATAAAATGACTCATCTTACTGATCTTTTGAGAATTTTATAATTCAACCGTCAACCCTTGGAAGTATACATGTTTAAAATACAAAAGTTGGAAATATGTTTCTTCTAGACTTCTCATGACCTTTTTTGCCACTTCAAGTCAAATGCACTTTTTTTGTTACGGTTTAGTGTTCTTTTGAAGCATTGAATTTGTACATAGATATAAAGGAGTCACAGTTGCAGAAAATTAAAAAGCTAATACCGGTCTTTGATCTTTGCCCATATATGTGTATTTTCTAAAATTCACTTTGAAGTATAACTAGTGGATACTTTTCTGTGTCTGAGTTCTAAATTGTGTTGGAAATTGCTTTGTATTTCCCAAATGAGAAAGGTCTCCATTTTCCACAAAATGCAACCAAAGCAGAAAACACTTTTGTTTTTATTCATATTTTATAAAAAAATTCTTCCCTCAGTTTCTTTTATTTACAACTTTCAGATCATATTCCTCTAAAACTAAAAAAAAATATGGTAAAATAAATTGTAATAGTTAGAATTGTTCTTATGTTGGCTGCTTACAAAATTTTAAATTTTTTGTAAGTTATGCTACTCCTAAACCACTTAATATATCTTCTATGAGTTTTACAATTGTATAATCAGCCCTGAAGTCCATTGGTTGCAAGTTTGAGACTTCATAAATAAGTATTTACTAAGTGAACAGTATTTTAATAAGTTTGGTTAAATATTGGTTTGTAGTTACAAAGCTGTGTGTAGAGTGGGGGTGAGCAAAGGTGGCATACTTGTAAGTTGGTGGTAAAAATGTGTCCCTAAATTTAAAGTACATTCCGGAGGTGGTGTACTAAATGTCCTGTGTATAGTGAATATTTTCTAGGTAATAAGAATTGCATTTAACTAGCAGCATTTTTTTTCCTAATGTGTAAGATAGAGGTTTATGACTTCTACGGGGCATTGTTTAGGTACTGTGAAGACTAGAGGTGAATTTGTATCTTGTGAAAGCTTTGTGTGTACAGAATATCTTGGCAATTGCAGTTGCACATTTAACTGTTAGTAATTGCTCTAGAGAAATCTTAATTTTACCAGTGGAAACAAAAGATGCATATTTCTTTTTAGAAGTCCTTATGTCTAGCCTCTAACCACCCAGTTAATAGGAAAGGAATAACTTTATTTTTTATTTATTTTATTTTATTTTTATACTTGAGCATAGTTGACATGGTGTCACATTAGTTTCAGGTGTACAACATAGTGATTGAACTGCTCTGTTATGCTGTGCTCACCACAAGGGTGGCTACCATGTGTCACCGTAACAGCGCTCTTACAGATATTATTGACTATATTCCCTTTGCTGTGGGAAAGGAATAACTTTTGCATTAAGCTTTAAAACATAGGACATTTAAGCCAGTATGTTAGATTTATTTTTCTATTCCACTTGCGCTGCAATAACAAAAAGAAATCTGTAAAAACTCAAAACATTGAAGAATTTACAAAACAGACCACTTTAGCAGTTTTTTTTAAAGGATTTACACTAGAACTGATTATACCAGATGTACATTAGATACTCATTTTATGAAATACCAAAATCATATATTCGAGCCAAGCTTGAATATCCATATGAAAACGTGGGATACTGACTTTAGAGCTATTAATTTAGCTTTAATCATAGCAATTCTGTGGTTTCTTCACATGTACTATGTCTTTGTCCAAGAAATGAAATGTTATGTGACTTCAGTGTTAATTTCATTAAAGAATATAGATGAAGAAACCTGCTCATTATTTGAAATATAAATAGGCAAAATTAAAATGAGTGTCATATATAAATAGGTTGTTGAGTAGATATTTTCTCTTTAATTTAAAAAAGTAATGTTTATTTATTAAAAGGAGCCTTGGTAGTATGTTAATTGTTTGTGGTAGGTTCTTTAATAAACCCTGTTTTAAAACCTCAATTATCTATACTAATAATTAGGATATTAAAATATACTAGCAGGCCCCCATTTTCATTTAAATTCTTGTAAAATATAAGCCTAATTAAGGTATGGGGGTGGCCTGCATCTGTGTGTTTGTCTGGCAAGTAGAGTCCATTTGACAAGGTATGTCTTCTTTTTTTCTGGGGAAACAGGACCTTTTTTTGC